ACACCCATTGATTTGGGGCTTCCTTCAAAAAGGACAACCTCAATAGGTTTTAAGGATCTTGGTGGGTCCTTCAGCCATCCAGAAAGTTTCCTAGATCTTTTTAGGTGGTTTAGGGAGGTAGTTTCCACACCGGACACCACTCACAGTTTGCGACTTTAGCAGGGGATCAGTTTGGACAGCCCAGGTTTGTGCGGCTTTCAAGGGAAGCCAAAAGTGGAACCTATGATTCTGTGTCTGCTTAAGAGATGGTGGGCCCATTTTTTGGGTGGGAAACCGCAAGGAAACAAACCATTTTGGGCTTTCCGAGTTGGAGAAATACCCATATGGGGGTGTCTTAAAATAGAGCCCAAACATGGAATCGGGTTTCCCTTTCAAGCCAAGCTGCAAAGGGCAGCCCCGACAAGACACGTCCATACAGAGCAAGGATAAGCAAATTGCACTGGGTCGCCTCAATAAAGGTTCACACCCTTCCCCCTAGAATACCTCAAATGAGAGAGCACACCGGAACGGTCAATTTTCACATTTGCAAGCCTTTATAATATCATTACTGAAAACAGGGTGAACATTGACAACGCCGCTACTGTGTTTTGTTACACAGCAGAGGGCGAAACTTCGTCTGAAGCATAGCGTAGAGTCCCTAAAATGCAGCCTCTCTTTGACAAAAGGAACAGACAAAATTGCAACCAACCTACAATTCTCAAGTTGAGTTTTGCCTTGGTTTATGCTCGGCGTTACCCAAGCAAGCGAACAGAGCCTGCAAAATGAGCTCCGGGGGTAAGACACGCTGAACAATTGCGAAGGTTCTGAGCTAGGTGTTCTCTTACAAGGTTCGAATCACGATCAGCAAAACGTAAGGATCACAGAAAGACGAGTCCATGCTTGCTACGGCGAGGCACACCTCATTTGACAGCGTTGCCTGGAAGATGCGACCATGCTTGCTATGGCCCGTGCCACAGAGTCAAACCGCATCTGACGTTGCGTGAAAGATGCGTCCATGCTTGCTATGGCCCATGCCACAGCGAGGCAAACCGCATCTGACAACGTTGCCTGGAAGATGCGTCCATGCTTGCTATGGCCCATGCCACAGCGAGGCAAACCGCATCTGACAACGTTGCCTGGAAGATGCGTCCATGCTTGCTATGGCCCATGCCGGCTACATCTGACAGCTTTGTCTGAAAGATGCGTCCATGCTTGCTATGGCCCATGCCACAGCGAGGCAAACCGCATCTGACAACGTTGCCTGGAAGATGCGTCCATGCTTGCTATGGCCCATGCCACAGCGAGGCAAACCGCATCTGACAACGTTGCCTGGAAGATGCGTCCATGCTTGCTATGGCCCATGCCACAGCGAGGCAAACCGCATCTGACAGCGTTGCCTGAAACATGCGTCCATGCTTGCTATGGCACATGGCAACCGCATCTGAAAGCGTTGCCCGGAAGATGCGTCCATGCTTGCTATGGCCCATGCCACAGCGAGGCAAACCGCATCTGACAACGTTGCCTGGAAGATGCGTCCATGCTTGCTATGGCCCATGCCACAGCGAGGCAAACCGCATCTGACAGCGTTGCCTGAAACATGCGCCCATGCTTGCTATGGCCCATGGCAACCGCATCTGAAAGCGTTGCCCGGAAGATGCGTCCATGCTTGCTATGGCCCGTGCCTCCATGCTTGCGTTGATCAATAGTGGTAGACAATGTCCGATTTTTTCGAAATTTAACTGGCTGTGGTAGCTTGTTTTGGCAACGAGTGACACATGTTTTTTTCCTGGGTGGTGTTACGCGCGAGGTTTGGTCAAACCTCCCGTGGTGGTCCAGTTGAAAGGGAGGCTCACTGATGTCTGCCACACAATGCCAGGACTCTCACGTGTATGCGGTTTTTGTGGATCCACCAGGTTAGCAAAAGAGATGAGCCCGGAACGTGGCTTTAGGCCGGTTCCCAGCTCGTCGAAGAGAGCAATTCACCTGGTGCCGTTTTTGTTTGGAGAACGGTACCTAATTTTGGGTTCGTTGGACATCGAGTCGGGAAAGCCCCGATTTGGGAGTTTCTATTTTGAGACAAACAGAGAAAGGGGATGTACCGGGATGCCGGAGGCCGAAGGGAGTCCCAGCGATTTGAGAAACGGCATCTTTTGGCTCTCCCTCACATTCACCGAGCACGTGGCGGACCAAGGCTTCAATGTGTTTGATGTGAGTTCTCACTTGTTCGCTCGGAAAAGGGGCTTGTTCAGGCTATCCATGGGAACAAGGGCGTTATTTGGTTTTTGTTGGAGGGCACCCGTTCACCTTGGTTTAAAGGGACACCACAAGAACAAACGAAGCCCTTGTTGGGGTCCTGGAACACACACACATGTTCGCTACACCATGGCTGAAAAGGAAATCCAAAAGGACATCAACCACCTGAAGGGGTCCCTAATATTGAGAAACACGTACAAGGCCTTTTTTGGGCCTGCCTCAAAGGGTGCGAGAATCCGACCCGAAGCTCCTCGTTTCTCGAAACGCAGGACGTGTGCCGGGAGCTCTTGGCAGTCTACGAGGATGCGCTGGGCCTGCCCAAAGAAGGCCCGTGAAACTGGGTTCTTTTGACTGGGGTCGTTATTTTTGACAGGTTTGGGGGTTGTCAAAGTGAGAAAGGAGGGTTCTTGGTGGTTCCCTGCTCTGGTTCCTTAGATGTTTAGGCTTTTAGGGTGTACGCAGTGTAGTGGGGGGTTTCCATTTAACCCAGAAAAACTCAAACGTGCAGGGGATCAAAAACGGACAGCCCATTGTCAACAGCATTGACAACCAGTGAACGGGGTTGTTTCCCTTGGCGCTTTCCGCCGGTCCCTTGAACTTTCAGCTTGTCTCGAGGGATTTATGACCTATACCTTTTCCCGGGGTCTCCTGAAAGCGATTTTTCATACATTCGGGTGGACGACACATATGCGGAAAACAAAACATGCTTTTCTGTGTAATTACCCAACGTGGGCCAGGTTTGTGGGGCTGTCCATTCTTGAGGACACCCTTTCATTGGGTACCTGTGTTTTTGAGGGTACCAAGTTCCAGCGGTGTGGCCCCCCAATTTTCGGAAACGCACAGAGATGTTGGCCATGGAGGACACAACGAGAGGATGTGCCCTACAAACCTGTCGGATTCATTGCCGGGTGTTTCCCCTAAGCTATACGAATCCCCACATCAGGTACCCTTGAATTGGTGGTTTGGATTGGTGGCTTGGGGATTTGAGCCCTGGTTCTGGTCGAGGGTAAGTGGGAAACCCCGACTTGACCCACCAAACCACCGGGCTCCAAAACACCAACTAAGAGGAAGCGGACAAGGTATGGCACGTAAGAATTGGGGACTCTCAATGATGGCGAAGTGGCTTCTCGTTGTTTTCAACCAACCCTTCAAAACCAACCAAAAAGGGGCCACCCGTTGTTTGGGTTCCGGGTCAAGAGACACGCCTCAAGTCGATGGGAAATTCAACTCGGCTTCAAACAGTTTGCTCCAGGGTGTCACAAGGCTGTCTGAGTTCGTTTTGGTTCAGCTTTCAGATGATTCAGGTATCCCTGAATTGATTGGTGGTTTGGATTTGTGGTTGGGGGATTTTGCACCCCAGTTCCTTTTGAAACGGGAAAAGTCATGTCCAAACCACCAAACGAAACCACCAATTAAAAGGAAACTGAAGGTTTGACAACGATGAGAAAACCAAAGAGGCTGAAGGAGCTAGCACCTCGAAATGGGTCCGTCTTTCTAAGGTTGGACCCTCCCAAATTGTGGAAGTTCCTGTTGGTGTCCCTTTGATATCACCAAAAAGTGGGTACTTTTCGCCTCAAAAATAAAAAAGACTATCGAGCCACCCTTTCTGAAACGGATCATGTTCCATACGGCGGATGATTACAAGGTCCACCAGGCACACCAGTTTCAGTTGGAGTTGGTGGTTTATCAACCATCATTTTTTAGGGTTTCATCTAGCCCAAGTGTTGCGAAATGGATTTCGTCCACCCACTGTATTTCAAGGCTGACCAAATATGAAACAGAATAGTGTACACCAAGCGTTTGGCCAAGTCTCTTCGGGAAGTGTGGGGTCCCGTACAGGACGCGCTTTCTCCTTGTCGCCTCGTCACATTTGCTGTATCGATTGCATCGCGCTTTTCGGGCGAGGTGCCTCGCCGCCCTCGTTGGTGGAGCTTTGATGTTCAAAAGCGCGCGTGGCTGACCGAACCGTCTCCCTCACGTCTGGCGAGTTGTCCTTTGGTGGGGCCCGGTGATGTTCTAAGGGGAAATATAGGGAGATTTGAAACTCGTCCTGTCTTCCTTTGCGGTTTTAAAGATTCCCTTCGCGTTGCCAATTTCAGGCGAGCTTACCACTGTTAGCTTTGGGAGGCGCCAACATCCCGGGGCCTGGGCCCTAAATGCTCACACTTTGCTTTTGTGGCACCCGGACGAACATGGAAGATATAAGATACCCTTTGCATGGTTGATGTATTGTGGTTGTACCCCATTACACCCCCCAGGGGAGGTGCTTCGGGGGTAGAAACCACCTTAGACTTGGGAACGGAAGATCACCCACCCTTGGTTACATAACCTGAAACAATTGTTATTTCGAACATTTGTTTCACTCACCTTGGTGGTTTCAGCCATACCCTTAGGGTGTTTGTATTGAGTTGTTTTAGTGGTAGTGTTCATTGGACCGAATCAGAATCAACTTTAGAAGCAACCAGTGACATGGGCTGGAGCGATAATCCAGCTGGACAACGGCTTCATGTCATGCCATGACGGATCAATTTTTTCCGGCGGCCAGCAAGATCCCCCCCCCCCGCCCCGATCAGGTGGAAACCAAGGGGGTGCCATGCAAATTTGTGGTTCTGTTCTTTTCTTTGGATGACCTTGAATTACTGGGGCAAGCAATGCGGTTTCCTTTTTTGCCTGCCCTCCCACCAACGCCTAGACGCGCTTCTCGTGCGCCAAGGCCGGGGTTTCCGTGCCAACGCCACCCTCCCCTCTCGCGACTCACGCTGCCCGAG